AGCACGATTGGGGCTAAAATGGAAAACACAGCACAAGCAGGTAAGAGAGTGGGTCTGGTACCAGATTGGCTGAGTGCAGGCGTGACCTTGGGCCAGTTGCTTAACCTCTCCGTACCTCGGTGTCCTCATCTGTGCAATGCACAAAATAAACCTCATTGCACTTTTGTGAGGATTAAGGAGCCAACCTATGCAAAGCGCTTAGCCCAGCGGCTGGCACACGGTAAGCCCTACATGGTTATTTGCTATGATTATTAATAAAGAAATGCATGAGGTTGGGGAACACAGTGAAAGAAATGCACGTCACTTGCAATCAGACATTTCTGGCGGGCGGGGGGGGGGTGCTGTCTGGCTCACAATGACCTACCTGTACGACCATCCCTCTCACCTTCGGGGACTGGTCGCCGGCAACCACATTTGTACAACTTGGTTCCAACACCAGCTGGGGTGGGCATCTGGCCCAAGCTGAGCTAACCAAGTCCTTCCCTTGGAACCGGGCCAAAGAGCTCCTAGTTTGATCCCAGATGGCCTTTCAAATGGCCACCTTCTGTCCTGCTGAAGTGACACAGTAGAGAAGGCCAGGGTGGGGGGAAGGATGACGTGGGGAAAAGCAGACGCACAAAGCAGAAAGAAGACCCCGGGCCCTGGTTTCTGGTCTTTTCTGAGACCTGGCTACTTTTATGCCGTTGGGATTCCGTGAGACACCCTTGATTCTGTATAACCCATGTGCACTCTTTTTGAAGCTACTCTGATTTCTGTCTTGGCGACACCTGGATGCTGCCTTTTTTTTTTTTTTATGTTTATTTGTTTTGAGAGAGACAGAGAGCACAAGTGGGGGAGGGGCAGAGAGCGAGGGGGACAGAGAATCCAAAGCGGGCTCCACGCTTACAGCAGAGAGCCCTACGTGGAGTTTACATTCGCAAACTGTGAGATCATGACCCAAGCCAAAGTCAGATGCTTAACCGGCTGAGCCACCCAGGCGCCCCTGGGTGCCGCCTTCTCATTTCCCTGCTGGAGCTTCAAGAAAGCTCCACTCCTTTCCCTTTGGCCCAGGCAGGCTAGAATCAGTTCTAGTTTGGTGCTGTGATCGAAGGAAGAATTTACCAGGGGTAAGAAGCCATTTTTCTCTGCTGTTCATCGCGCACACCGACTTCTTCCCAAGCCTGGTTTGGAGCACTTTATACACATTCTCGCGTTAGCTCGATCCAGTATCGCTACTGGGTCTCTGTTTCTCAGATGAAGAGAGTGAGGGTCAGAGAGTTGACGAGATTGGGTTATCACCACTCAGCTAAGTAGGGTGGACAGCTGGGATCCAAATCCGAATACTGTGCTGTCGCGCTCCATGCCATCCTCCCTGGAACCCCTGGATGGTGTTCCCTTACTCTCCTGCTGTAGGGTCGGAGACAAACCCCTGGTCCTGCCTCAACTTCCTCATGTGCAAATGGGGTGACACCACCCCCCTTGCCCGTCTCTGTGTTGTCCGGAGGGCCCAGCGTGAAGGGGAACGAAGTGAGGTCACATTGAAATCGGTCGATTTGAGCAACTCACGGCAAAGGCCGGTGTGGGAGAGAGATGCAATTAATCTGAAAAACACAGTGGTTTTTATTTTTAAGAAACGTGATCCACGGCCTTCAGTCCTCCGCGTGGCCGTGCGTGGCTTCCATTTCCCCGCGTCAACAGCGGCCTGGATTTGGGCTCTTCATAAAGTCCCTGTGAGTTTTTAAAGAACGGACGGCACTTATCTTCTTTTTAAAAAGTTAAATCAACACATGCTTGTTGTAGAAATGTTGGGGGAGGGAACATAAGGAAGAAAACCCTCACCCGTGTTCTCTATCCTTGTGATGGATGTATTAAGTCAACTACGAAAGAAACCGTGACAGACACGCCAGCGTGAACGAGTCTGAGAGACTGTCATGCTGAGCCACAGACGTCAGACCCAAAGGCGTATGTATCTTTTGATTCTATTTATACGAAGTTCAAGAAAGGGTAAAACTATCTATAGTGACAGAAGGCAGAGCGGGGGCTGCCTGGGGCCGGAAGTGGGTGGCTGGGGTCAGCTGTCGAGGAGCAACAAAGAAACTCTTCTGGGGCTGTGGGAATGTTCTATGTTGCTATGTTGGTGGACATGGTGGTTAACACGGGTGTGTACATTCATCAACACATATCACCCTGTTCGTTTGTTCGTTTGTTGATTTTTAATGTTTTATTGACTGGTTTGCTTTATTTATTGTTATTTTTTTTTAATGCTTATTTTTGAGGGGCACCTGGGGGGGCTCAGTCGGTTGATCGTCCGACTTCAGCTCAGGTTACAAGCCCCCGGTCCGTGAGTTCAAGCCCCGCGTCGGGCTCTGTGCTGACAGCTTGGAGCCTGGAGGCTGCTTCTGATTCTGTGTCTCCCTCTCTCTCTGCCCCTCCCCTGCTTGCGCTCTGTCTCTGTATCAAAAATAAATGTTAAAAAAAAAATTTCAATGCTTATTTTTGAGAGAGAGATTTGAGAGAGAGCATGCGAGCAGGGGAGGGGCAGAGAGAGAGAGAGAGAGAGAGAGGGATGGAGGATCCAAAGCGGGCTCTGTACTGACAGCAGAGTCAGATGTGGAGCTTGAACTCCCGAACCACGAGATCATGACCTCAGTCAAAGTCGGATGCTTAACCCGCCGTGCCACCCAGGCACCCCTCAACCTGTTCTTTGGAAGTGGGTGTGTTTTATTTCATGTAAACTATACTTCAATAGCATTAAGAAGGGGGGAGAAATGATCTATAGTCCCGTCACCCCAGAGATAACCGCTGTTAAGGCTCAGTTGTGTGCAGGTAACTCAATCTTAATCAAACAGCTGATTCTATGTTTGAAATATAAGTTCCAGATAAACACTTGGTCCTCTGCGATACTTTTCCTTAACCTCAGACTTACTTGGTTAATGTGAACAAAGGAAGGGAGAGGACGATATCTTGTGCTCTTTTGGTTCCAGCTTTGCCCTCCGAAACCGGGGAAGTGTGGGGTGGGGGTGCATAATCGTTGAGCTACCCGGAATCACAGGCTGCTGAATAGGAAACCTGTTCCCCACCCCCACCCCCCCACCTCCCCCCCCACCCCTGCCCAGGAGCCTAGAAAATGAGCTGACTTCACATCAGCCCTGAAGAGGGAGGAGGATGTTCCCCGACTTCACGATGAAAACATGACTCCTCTCCTCACAGCAGGACAAAAAGCACATTTTATTATTTGATCAGTATGTTAAACGCCATCGGGACGGAATGTGTACTCCATTATGTTGGTGTCTCACGCCTGTTAAAAATGAGGTTCGGGAATGCTCTCCTAGCTAATACAGTTTTGAGACAGAGTGTTCACAGCAAGCTTCGGGAGAGTGGCCCCAAAAGCGCCACGGATAGGCATGGAATTGGGACCACTTAAGACCAGTTTCGTTGCCCGCTTTTGGTGTTCGGCATTTGATTACAGGCATGGCCTCATGCCATGAAATAGGCTCCAGAAACGCGAGTTAAAACAGCTTGCGACCTACTCCTTCCTGTGAGTCCCTGTGTCCCTTGACAGTCTGATAAAACCAGCTGTGTTTGCTCCAGCCCCCAGGAAGTGGCATCTGAGGAGGAACGTGCCATTGCGTGAGTGTGGACAATACAATGGCCCCGGACGGCCACCCGCAGGACGCCTGGGGAGCAGCGTGCACCAGCCGAGAGGGCGGGAAAACATCTCCCTTGAAACCGGGGGCTCCCGACTAGGGGCGAGGTGGCCTTCCAGGTGACACGTGGCAGGGTCCGGAGACATTCTGGTCGTCAAGGATTACGGATGCTACCGGTGTCTGCGGACAGAGGCCGCGGCCGCTGCTAACACCTCACGGTGCACGCGACACGACAGCTGGCCGGCCGTGAAGAACTACCCAGCTCCAAATGTTGACAGCGGCCAGGGCTGGAAGCCCTGCACGGACGCTGTATCGAGAGTGTCTGTATGCCAGTTTGTGGGCAAATGGGATCGGTCTGGACAAGTTGTATAGACAGAGAGCTGGTGGCGATCAGGGCCGTGTAAACATGGGTTCTGACAGTAGCCATGTCAAATAGCTACCGCTCACTCACGGTTTCAAGGTGCCTACTCTGTGCCAGGCTGTGGCATGATCTCATTTCTATGACCTGGAAAAAGGTTCTGTTATGACCCCACTCTATAGTAAATCGACGAGATACATACAGCCGGGAAAGGGAATGGCAAGGTATTTCTCTTCCTGGCATACATTTTTTTAAGAGGAGGTGGGGGCGCCTGGGTGACTCAGTTGATTAAGCGTCTGACTCTGGCTCGGGTCATGATCTCACGGTTCGTGGGTTCGAGCCCCACGTCGGGCTCTGCGCTGACAGCTTGGAGCCTGGAGCCTGCTTCGGATTCTGGGTCTCCCTCTGTCTCCCTCTGCCCCTCCCCCCTCTCAAAAATAAACATGAAAAATTTTTTTAAAAAATAAAGGGAGAGGGATGGTCAGAAGGGAGGGGTGTCTGGTTCCCCCCACTCAACTATGAGCTCTGTGAGGGCAGAATCTTGTGTGACCTGCGTTTGCAGCATAGAACGGAATCCTTGTCCCAAGTTTCAGTTACCCCTGGTCACCCCCTGTCCAGAAGCAGATGATTCTCAGCGGTAGCCTAACGCTGTCACAATGCTTTCGCCATTCACCTCACTTCATCTTATCACGTAGGCATTTTATCAACTCCCATCATCACAGGAAGGGTGAGCACGATACAGTAAGAGACTTTGAGACAGAGAGACCACATTCACATAGCTTTATTTTTACAAGTTTTTTTGGTTTTTTCGTAAATTTTTAATGTTTATTTACTTTTGAGAGACAGAGAGACAGAGTGAGAATGGGGCAGGGGCAGAGAGAGAGGGAGACACAGGGTCCGAAGCAGGCTCCAGGCTCAGAGCCGTCAGCCAGAGCCCGACGCGGGCCTCGAACTCACCAACCGTGAGATCCCGGCCTGAGCCAAAGTCGGACACTTAACCGACAGAGTCACCCAGGTGCCCCTCACATAACTTTTATTACAGTGTATTGTTGTAATTGTCCTGGGTTATAATTTGTCATTGTTGTTAATCTCTTACAGGGCCTGATAAATTCAACTTTATCGTCGGTGTGTATATACAGGAAGAAAACGGTCTCTATGGGGTTCGGTACTACCCGTGGTCTCAGATGTCCACTGGGGGTCTTGGAACGTATCCCCCCGCGGATAAGGGAGAACCAGTTTGCCTAACAAAGTCCTTGGCGGCCAGGAGGTGCGAACAGACTGGTGTTTCACGGAACTGAATGAAACAATGAAGGAAGCATGAAAAGTGGCTTCGTCGTTAGAATGCTGGCATTGATTTCCAGCCATTCGATAGGCACCGTGGACCCCTCTGGGCCAGGCCCTGGAGACACGGGCAGGCTGGAGCTATCCGATCCTGGCTCTTGAGAGCTGGTTGTTACTTCTTCGGAAATCTTCCGAGGCGACTGTCAGACAGCCAGCGAGCACGCTTAAATTACATAAAATTACAATTAAATTATAGTTTTAAAAAGGTTAATCAAACGTATCCCTTCCTAATTTTTCGACTGCATTTCATGAGGACCTCGGTTCTGAAGGTCAGATGTCTTGCAGTGGTCACCAGACCTTTTCTGTGAAAGGGCCAGATGGGCCGTATTTTACGCTTTGCCAGCCCCGGGCCGAATCTAGCCCCGAAGCCGTTGTTTGCTGGTGTGGCCCCTGGCATGTCGTATCCGTAGGTGGACGTGCCCTCTAGCGGGATGCGTCATCTTCCAACTCCTTGTTCAGCGATGCACTCTGCTAGCTTGGAAACTGCTATGGTGGGGACGGTGACACCACGGAAGGTGTCAAATGCTCTAACTCGGGTTCTCTTCTTTCCAGGAGCTGGCCGTTAAACATTTACCAGTAAACCACCGGGCGCAGCGATGGGCAAAAGTGGCATGAGCCCTGCCCTCTTGGAGGGTACAGTGTGTTGGGTCTGTTCACCACTTCATGGTGGGGTGGGGCCGGAGGGGGGCCGGGTGAAGGCGGGTCAGGCTCCCCACTGCCGACCACCCTAAGAAAGACAACACCCAGCTGCAGGCTTGTCTGCCGGAAGGGGCAGGGCTGCTGGAAGGGGGTGCCGAGGTGAACCTCTCCTGGGGCTGGCCATCAGCCCCTAACTCTCCTCCCCCCACCAGGGACTTTGCCACTTTACCGCATTCTTCTGTGGGCAGCCCGCTCTGTCTTCACCCCCCTAGCTCAGGGGGAGACTTCAGGTCCCTGGGAGCTGAGACGTGAGCCCATGAGAGCGGTTTACTCCCTTTCCACGGCAACGCCCGCTCCTAGCACTGTGCTTGCCTGACATGGAGTGGGCTCTCCACCCGGGTGACCTAGGGGTGAACCCAGAGGGGGCTGAACTGAAGGGAGAGAGGCAGTTTCAGCGAGCAGGCTGAGGGCAGAAGGTTGTCCTTCGGGACTGGCTCAAACAAGGAGAGACTGCCAGCAGAGAAGGCAGGAAATGATAGGTTTGGCCCGTGACCTGTGGTGAGTGGACTGGCCTGTGGGAACCCAAGCAGAGTGAAGGGTCTGTGAACTTCTGCAGCCTTTGTGCTGCTCTGTAAACCTCTCCCGTTCGATGCCGGGAGGGCGAACTCTCAGGGGCCTGGCTTGTTCTTTGTAGAGTCTGGGTCCTGATGGCATCCAGGGTGACTTGGGTGTGTGATCCATCCATGGAAACTAGACAGGCCTGGGTCTCCTACAGAGACTGGGGGTGGGAGGAGGGTGCAGGGAGGGAGCTTTTGATGGAATCCGGCGGCCGGACTCATTCGGTTTTAGGTCAGGAACCAGGGACAATGGGAGGCAAAGAGCTCGGCATCTCACTCGCTGAGTACCAGCACGGCCCATTGTACAGACCGGTCCTGTTGCCGGCACTTCCCTAAGCACCGGGGAATAGGTGGGTGTTGACTCGCAATTGATCAGTCGCTGCATTTTTGTTGAGCTCTGGCTGCGGGCAGGCACTCAGTCAGCTCGGCTGGCAGCCTGAACTGGATTCGGCCACCCTCTTACAAGCATCCCGGGGGCTCCATGTCACTGACTCCAAACTCAAACCAACAAACAGTATTTAAAGATGACATCAGTTGAATTCAACCCATTTCCCCCAGGGTACCCGCACAGGAAAACATTACAAAGAAGGAGTGGGAAAAATGTGGAATTTCAGGTCAAGCCAAATTTTGGGTTCACATCTTGGCTGGATTCCCACAGTTGTCTGACCATCTCTGAGCCTTAACTTCCTCACCTGTAAGACGGGGATGATAACGATTCTTGCCTTCTGGGCTCACTGGGAGGAAGGAAGGAGAATAAACAGGAAAGCCCCGGCATAGTACCTGCAGCACTTGGTGTGCTGCTCATTTTTATCATAATATTCCGATTTAACTTTTACCAAAGCAGGAGGATATCTGGAATAGTCCTGGAAGAAATAAGGGATTCCTTGCACTCTGGTACATTCCACTGGAGTTTTGCACCCTTGACCAGGGAGAGGAGTGTCCATGGCGGTCACTGAAGTGGACAGCAGCTGCTCTGAGCTGTCCTACTCTGTGACTTCATGCTGGCCCCCATCACCTCCCTCCTGGGAACTCTCGACAGCCTCCGCACTGGTCTCCCTATCTCCAGGCTGCTCCTTTGCTAACCCCGTCCATGTCATGCTGTGGCCAGTGACCTTATAAAGGTGACATCTATGAGCCAGCCACTCTCACGCGTAGTCCATGCGGTGGCTCCCCACCACTCTCCGAGGAAAGTCTGGTCCCGGCACAACCTGCTTGGCCCCTGCTCACCTCTTAGGCCTCTGCCCTGCAACCCTGGGATATTTTGCAGGCCTTGGCAAATGCATGTAGTTTCCCAGACAGGCCTAGTATTCTCCCCTCGCCTCTTTTCTCCGTGCCATCCCCTCTTCCAGGAGCACCGTTTCCCTTCTTTACCTGATTCCTGAAGACCTCGCGGAGTCAGGATGTGAACCCCAGGGCCACAGTCTGGCTGGATCAGGTGTCCCTCCTCTGTTCCTGCAGCCCAAGCACCGCGTGGTCATTGCCTTTACATTGTCCCAGGCTCTAAGCTCAGAGCCTGATGAGCTAAGTGAGCCTGGCATGTTACTCGGCCTCTCTGTACCCTCATCCGCCAGAGTGGATGGTGATGGCACCTATATTATAGGGTTGCTATGGGAAGGAACAGTCGTATGCATGCACAGCACTCAGCATACAGGAGGAGCTCAATAAAGGGTTGAACAACTGACCTCACCCCACCCCTTAATGGCCTGGGAGTCCTGGTCACAACCACGCCCTGAATCCACATGTGTACCACGTGGTGGGGGGTGGGGGTGGGCTTGACCCTTTCTTGCCCAATGATTTTCTCAAGGCCATAGTGAAGTTTAGAACTTGAAGAACAGAATTTGCCAGCAAATTGTGAGGAATTGACTAATTCCCTGTTTTCTCACCTAACTGCCTCCTCCAGGGCCCAGGAGGAGAGAACAGCTCTGTCCCTCTCCTGACACATACCATATGCTGGGCTCCCCCGCCCGGGCCCCCCCCCCCCCCCCCAGCCCTGGCCAGGCTCAGGGATAGGATCTTTCCAGGAGCTCCTACATCGTGTCTGTTCTTGGGAAAGAGTGGGGAGGGGATAATCCCCATCACAGGGATGCTGTGGGCAAAGTGCCAGCATTCACGATGTAATTCAACACACACTCACATATTCACTACAGAGGTATCTTCACTTAACAAAAAAGGCAAAAAATCTGGGGGTTTAAATGGCATTAGCTGCAGAAGCGTGTGGCAGTGAGAAAGCCTGGCTGAGGAGCTGAGTCTGGGTGGCTGCGTGTGCGCCCTTAATGGCAGAAAGGGGACGTTTTGCCTCAGAGTTAGAGTTCCTGAGTGACACTGTGGTTCATTCCACAGGGGTGCTTCCAATATGATTCCCTCCCAGCCTTGTGCTGGGCCTGCGGATGCAGGGATGAACGGCCTGGCGGCCTGAGCGCAGAGGCAAAGAAGCAGGCACTGCTGGGGCGCAGGCAGAAGACAGAGTGGCCCAGTAACTTGGGGGAGGGACTTTGTTGTCTAGGTGCCTGGGAGGGGTCAGACTCGAGGCGCAGAAGGAGGGGGGCTGGGGAGTCTGTCCCCTCCCCCCAGACGGCTTGAAGACCGGCAGACATGTGTAAAAGACCAGGGGGCTTGCCGAATCCGCCAGGCTGAGACAGGGCAGTGTGGGTTCATTATCCGGTTAACTGAGGGGCATTTTCAATTCGAGGAACCATCCTGTTCTACGACCCCATCTAGCCAGCCAGGTAGACAGCCTGAGCTGTGGAGGGGGTGTCAGAGGTCAAGCGGCCCAGCCCCGGCCCCTCCAGCCCGGCCCGGCCCGGCCCAGCCCAGCCCAGCCCAGCCCAGCCCAGCCCAACTCAGCCCAGCCCAGCCCCGGTCCCTGGGTTTGCACCTGGCCGCACCTCGGCCGCCCGCGTCGACACGTCCCGCGGCGCTGGCCGGTCCGATCGGGGTCG